GGTTTTTAAAAATTTAAACTTGTCACATCAGTTCTGTAAAATAAGCAAATATCTCCAAGATCACCCTCGCCAGGTGGCTCGGTTGGAGCGTCATCCCATATACCAGCGGTTCTCAACCTGTCGGTGGCAACCCCTTTGGGGGTCGAATGACCCTTTCACAGGGGTCACCTAAGACCATCGGAAAACACATATATAATTACATATTGTTTTTGTGATGAATCACTATGCTTTAATTATGTTCAATTTGTAACAATGAAATTGGGGGTCACCACAACATGAGGAACTGTATTAAAGGGCCGCGGCACTAGGAAGGTTCAGAACCACTGACATATACCAAAAAGGTGCGAGTTCGATTCCCAATCAGAGCACACACATAGCTAGGTTTCGGGTTCAATCCCCAGTCAGGGCAGTTACGGGAGGCAAATGATGGATGTTTCTCACATTGATGTTTTTCTCTGTCCCTTCCTCTCTCTCAAATCAACAAACATACCCTTGGATGAAGATTAAAAAATCTCGCAAGGTCAATTTTTATTATCTTTATTATTCCATTTTTATGCTAACTCGGGTGTTTATTGTTCATTTTCTAAAGTGTTAGTGTGGAAATTGAAGTCGCTGATGTGAGAGTTTTATATCTTAGCAATTAGTGCTATATTTCCTTTTAAGTACAGTGTTAAACCTTTTGATATTCTGTGGTTTTTCATTCAAATACTTTCTGTTTTCCCTTTCTGGTATCTCTTGATTGATGGGTTGCTAAAAATTGGGCTATTTAGGTCCAAATATTTGGGGATTTTCCAGTTATCCTTGTTATTGATTGCTAATTTCATCTGTTCTGGTCACTAAAACATTTTGTACGACTTGAACCTTTTTAAATTTGAGACGTTTTAAAGCCTACCATATGGTCTGCCTTGGTCAGTGTGCTTTGTGCATTTGAAGAGAATGTATATTCTGTCCTTGGGTGGAATAGTTTCAAAGTGCCCATTAAGTCAAGTTCGCATGTAGTGTTGTCTAGGTTTTCAGTATCCTTGCTGATTTTCTGTCTCCTTGTTCTGTTGAGAGATGCATGTCAAAGTCTCGTCATTGTGGATTTGTCTATTTCTCCTTAGAACGCTGTCAGTCCTTTCTGCAACTTCAGGTGATTTCCACGCGCACACGTCCTGTTCAGAATTCTAGCTAAAAACTAGAGTTCTTACTCGGGTAAAGATGCTGCAGGTGTCGGGTTTGTTTTTCCTCTAAGAGCACTGAGGCACTTTATCCTGTGAACTCCAACCACCTCAGCCTTTTTCGTCTCCCAGCTCCATCGCCTCCACTCAGAGACCACACACAGCCTTGGAAATAACGCATGTGGTTCCCTGGGGGAATCATAGTCCGGTACTCCCCTCACTCATTTCCCATGGGCCTGTTTTGTTGCCCAGTGACCAGTCTCTTCAACACCAAGGTTTTATAGATTTTGTTAGTATTTCAGGTGGGAAGGTAAACTATTCCCTCCAATTCCATCTTCACCGGAAGTGCAGATCTCATAGAACATTTAGCGAGGGCAGGGACCACTGTGGGTCTAGGGTTTATATTTTTTTTTAAAAAAAGTGTTGCGATTAACATTCTTCTACATACGCTTTTGTAAGGTTTTACCAGTATTTTTGGAGGATAAATGGGTAGATCACAAGATAGACATATTTTAACAGATATTGCCAACTTGCCTTTGCTCTTCAAACTAGGATCTAGAATGAAGGCTTCTTAGAGGAATTTTAAGCACCTTCATCCCACCATGTTGGGTTATATTAGTCTAGTTTTTTATAGTTCCTTCTGCCTCCGTTTTCTCCATTGTGCTGTTCTTATCAGAGGGTAGAGTGTGCCAAAGATCCTGGCATGTTCTTTTAGTGTGGCCCTAACTGCTGTTTCTGTATTCTCCTTTTCAAGTGTGATATGAGGTGGTATCACTCCTATTTCAATGATGCTGGCATGTTTATATTTATTTAATTTGGCTTTCCCCGCCCCCTCCTTTTTTTTAGTAGAGGAAATTGGGTAAGACGGACTCTACTAGTAATCCATAGAGCCTCTGCAAGGCTAGAATTTTAATTTTGGAATGAGTAGAGTTCTACCTGGTCTATTTTTCGTGACCCTCTCTTTTCTCCTTGTTTGGTGCCTTTGCTGTCGTTGGGAGATAAACTGTGTGCTGTTTGTTAAATGCAAAAGAAAGTCTTGGTTTGGCCCAGGAAAATTCTGGTATCGACAAGTTGCCATTCACAAAGGTCTGTAATTCATTTTTCTTCACTCAGCACATAGAGCATCTCCTTTCATTTGCTTTTGCAGTGTAAATAGTTCACTGGTTTAACTTGTATTTCTTCTGATCCTACTGAGATTCAGTACTTACCACATGTTCATCAGTCACCTGTTGCCTCTTCATACCCTTTGCCCATGGAGGGAGGAAGTGCCATTTTCTAAGTGATTGTAGGAGCACTTGTGTGTTAAGAATATGAATTTCATGGGTTAATGATTCCCTCTAATTCTGTTTAAACCTTTTGTTTATACTGTCTTTGACTCTATACCTAATAAAGTTCTTACACAATCAAACCTAGAATCTTTGTGTGTGTGGCTTCTGGATCTCATGTCACTTAGGAAGATTGTTCTCACTCTATAAAGTATGTTCCCATGTCCTTTAATCACTGTTTCGCGTTTGGATAAAAAAAAAGAGGGGATCGTTTTGTGCAGAGCAGAGTCAGTTTGACCAAAACTGTTAAGCCACTGGCATGAAGTACCACCTTTATTATGTAGATCTTTATATGTATATCTGTTTGAATGTATATGTGTATGTTCACAGAGACAATCTTTCAAGCCTTAAGAAATTCTTATTAGGATTTCGTTAGGTACAAGGAATCTGTGGGTGAATATGGGCCTACTAACATCAGTGTAACACTGAGTCTTCCCCTGCAGAAGGACAAACGTCTACTCAAGTCTTTCACCCTCTATTAACTTCCATCATTTTCTTTGTACCTGTATTCATGTGAGCTGGTTAATGCAATGACTGTATTCTCAAAGAGAACTTAATATGAAATATAAAACAAGTCAGATATATGGGAACAGGGAGTAGTTTGAACTGTGGTGAACTGGAAACACATTCCCACCTAAAGGTATTCAGATTCCTTTTTAATTTAATGCATACCATCCTTGGCTGAGTAGCTCAGTTGGTTAGAGTATAGTCCCGATACACCAAGGTTATGGGTTCTACCCCTGGTCAGGGCACATACAATAATCAACTAATGAATGCATAAATAAGTGGGACAACAAATCAATGTTTCTCTTTTTAAAAAATCTATAAATTAAGCCCTAACCGTTTTGGCTCAATGGATAGAGCGTCGGCCTGGGGACTGAAGGGTCCCAGGTTCGATTCCAGTCAAGGGCATGTACCCGGGTTGTGGGCACATCCGCAGTAGGGGGCGTGCAAGAGGCAGCTGAATTGATGTTTCTCTCATCAATGTTTCTATCTCTCTCCCTCTCCCTTCCTCTCTGTAAAAAATCAACAAAATATATTCTTTTTAAAAAATCTATAAATTAAAAAACTTGATGCATGCCAAATCAAACAGGTCTGTAGGCGGCCAGTTTATGAGTATTGATCTATATAGTTTTGATTTCTTTCCACCTCTAGTTTTAGAATTACAGCTTAGAAGCTCAACTTTTTCTATTTTAAATGGCATAGGTATAAAACAATGCATCCCCCTGAAATTAGGAGGTGTCAAACTTACCTTTTATTTTTCAAGTTTTCTTTTAACTATCTTTTTGCCTTTGTTTAAATGGAAATGAAGACTGCATCTAAGTAAGTAAATTCTACTTACCACAAGTTGGTTTTTAAAATCTGACTGCTTAGAATTAATATGTAATGAAGTTAATTTTTCTTACCAACAGTCATATTCCTAGATAGTCATGCTGAAATAGCAGCCACCATCTTACTCTCTATTATCACGTACTTGAACATCAATCCTACTGTATTAGATACCCAGGTCACCCACCCACCTTTAGAACAATGACCACTGTTCCTAATCAATAATCTCTACAACCTGAGACGAGCTGCTGCTTTTGCTCTTTCTCAGCTAATCATTGTTAAGATGGTCATGTTTTCTTTGAATACCACAGTATCTTTTTATTTTACAGTTTATTGAGAGACTACTTTATGCTAGGCTAACTGCCAGGCCATTTACATGCATTTAATGTTTGCATTAACATTTTTGTTGTTAATTCTCACCCAAGGATATTTTTCCCATTGAGTTTTAGAGAGAGTAAAAGGAGAGAGAAACATCAATGTGAGAGGGACATTGATTGGTTGCCTCCCGCACACGCTCCGACGGAGGCTGGGGATCAAGCCTGCAACTGAGATATGTGCCCTTGACCAGAATTGAACCCACAACCTTTCACTCTGCAGGCCAATGCTCTAACCACTGAGCAAACCGGCCTAGGATCCATTAACTTTCGAGGTAGTACCATTATTATTTCTATAATATAAAACTGAAGCCCTAACCGGTTTGGCTCAGTGGGTAGAGCGTCGGCCTGCGGACTGAAAGGTCCCAGGTTCAATTCCAGTCAAGGGCATGTACCTTGGTTGCAGGCACATCCCCAGTGGGAGGTGTGCAGGAGGCAACTGATCGATGTTTCTCTCTCATCGATGTTTCTGACTCTCTATTCCTCTCCCTTCCTCTCTGTAAAAAATCAATGAAATATATTTAAAAAAACAAACAAACACTAAAGATAACAAATGACAAAATGTCTCTCCAAAATTAGAGGGCTAAAGAAGGGAAGAGCAAGGATTAGAACCAAGATCTATTTAATGCGGGCATGAGTTCTTAATTCTGGATAAGTCTTCAGAGAATGAGATGGATATTGACATGAGATGGGGCTTTGTAAGGTAGACTGGAACGAGGTATTGAGGGAAGTTATTTTAGGCTATTTTGAGGACACTGTGCTTTAACCTAAGAACTATAGTATGCCAGGAGGGGTTTTAATGAGAGGAGTGATATGATCAAACTATTTTTAATAGGTTTGTCCGCAGTGTGACAACTGACAAAGTAAGTGGTCAACACAGGAATCCAGTTAGGAAGTTATTTCCATAGACCATGTCAAGTAGATGATTGTGCACTGGATGAAGATGATGGGGTGGAAATGATTAAAGGAGTGAGATTCAAGGCAGATTTAGGAGATAAAACCTATAGCTTTTGGCAAATGGCTGGACATGGAGGGTGAGGAAGAGGAGAGACTCAAGAAAGACTCCATAGCGTGAATTCTCTTGTGATGAGCCAAGTGT